AGGGGGTCTACTGTAAATAGCTTAGTTAATCACCAAACGTCCATAAGTAATTTCTATTTAAATTTGAAAATAATAATTGATTAATGTAACATGACGTCTTCAACATACAGTAAAACTAAACAATAAACATTTACAGTGCTTGATTACCCCAAAGCTTTGTTTTAGATTAAATCTACACTTACTTGTGTACACAGAATCCTACCTTGATTTAAAAACTCAAATTTATATGAATTTTGTCAAGTTTTCTCCCAATGTTTATCATAAAATTACCTACAAAAATATTAAATAACAAACAGCTGTTAAATTAAGATTATTTATTCTAGTTGTCACTGATATATTTACAAATGCCACAACTATTTCTAATCAGCAGAGGCTATTCATATGTCAGACATACACCACTACTGCACACATCTGTTCTAAATAGTGCCATATTACATTCCTAATCCAGTTACTTTTATAACTCTGATTCACTATATTTTCCCCAGTTATCAAAACTCAAGAACAATAGTTTCACTTGCGATTAATTAAACCGGTTAAGTAAGGCACACAATTTTTATCTCACTTGGCTTGGATGTATTAATAAAAATATTGGCAAAAAATTTTATAAAAATTAAACAAAATTGGGTTTTTAATAGTTTGTTATTTTATTTTCAATTTCAAAGAAGGGAGGCCAAGTTTTTATAGCCAAAAACACTCTCACTAATCCAGTAAATATAGAAAAATGATTTGAACCTTGATTAGTACTCTAGTTTTCTAGGAATAGGCTGCAGAAAATTATATTTTGGTGTCACAGACAGAATGGACAGACAAACAAACAAACAGACAGACAAAAATTGAGATAAACTTGTTTTGGCTTTTTAGGGTATAAAATGTAAAAATAACCAAAAACTACATCATTGCTTAGGTGTACAATCTAAAAATGGTTTTAAAACATGTAACATTATTGCTAAAAAATTTAACACATTTTAGAATTAGGCAACTATTTACTAGTAGGCCTACAATGTTTTGGTTCAAACTATTAGGCCTAGATAACAACTTAGTCTATGTTATCATATTTGTACACGTAAGTTGGACGGTTCAATGACAAACATTTCATTTTAAATATATAAATTAGTTATGAAAGTTACGATGGTTGATGACTGTATTAATTAATGATTTTGGTTTATTACAACATTACGATTAAATCTGTTTTCTGTATTTGAGAACTTGCATGTATTTTAGCTTAATTTCATAGAGGTTTAATTATTTAGTACCAATTAAACTGAATTTTCAATATTTTTTTCATATTCTATTATTTTCTTTTATACTGATAGCATTTATATTTAAGATTAAAATCATAAACATTGATGGCTGTTGTACAGTTAAACAAAAAAACACTTTTTCAAGATTTTTTTATTGTCTTTGAATTACTTTGGACTAGTTATCTGTTAAAAGTGGAATTGATAACAAAAAACAATAACCTTTACTGTATCTTCATTGTTACCGACATTTTGAAATACAGCAGTGTATGATTATTTTGTCGTACAAGGTTAACAATGCTCTGTGCAGTGGGTGCAGCCGGGTAAGCAACTTCCAGAGTTAGCAAATTCCGCCAAGACAAAATCCAGTTAGCGGGTTCTGGAGTTAGCCAATTCCTGACTGAGACGGTTAGCCAGTTCCAGAGTTAGCCAATTCCTACATCTCTGGTTTTGATTTTATTTGGTAATTACAATAGACAAGCTCCTGAGTCAAATGAGGGGGTATTATTCTAGGTGGATACAATTTCAGTCCATATAAATTTTAATCAAACATGGCAAATCTACTTCCTTTCAATTAAGCTATTAATATTTATTAAAAAATATAATTTATTACCTTATCTATAACAACAAACCTAGGTATATGGTCCTTGGTTCTTGTAAACTACATCTCTTTAAATATAACTGTTTTGAACAAAAATAATTCCTTGTATTTTTACCGAGAAATTATAAACTGAATATATTACAAAAGTAAACAAACATTATAAAAACAATATACCATCATCATTTACATCAAAACTTTTTATTGGTTTACAGACTTCAATATTACCTCTTTTTTCAATCTTATAACACAGGATTTTAAAACAAATGAAATAGTAAATTATATATTTGATCTATTTCCACAACATAAACATATTAATGCTCCAAAAACTTGTCTATAAGGAACCTTTTTTGTCTCTGTCTTTGTTTTAACTTCCTTTTCTATCTATAAGTTTTCTAAACCAATTGAAGTTCTTCCACAGTTATAATCATTCATGTTGAATTTCTTTGTTTCTTTATGTAGCATGCTTGACTAAGTAATTGACTAAACTTGTTCCTTCAAAATTTCAAGTCCCAAGTAGTGTGAAACATTCATAGTTTTGATCTTGAATTCCTTATCTATAATTTGATAACATATAAAATAACTATAACTTTTCTTAACTCCTATTGAAAAGGGTATTAAAACCACTTTCTTTTAGACAGTTGCTAAATTTGTCATTCCATTTAACATGACACTTGTATTTCAAGTCATATAAACTTTCCTTCAACTTATAGTATTAACTAGGCTCATCCTCAAAACCCTCTGCTTGTATGTAAATTTCTTCTTCTAAATCATCATAAAGAAATACAGTTAGGACATAGAATTGTTTTAAAACATGTTTTTGTTTGCTACAATGTTTAACATTTATCTCACTGTCCCCATTTTAGCTATTGGACTAAATATTTTATTAAAATCTAGTGTCTTCATTATCATTTCTTTGTACTTACATTTAATCTTGTAAAGACTTATTTTCTGGAAGATATATATCAGGAATAATGTATTCATCTTTATCATCAAATCTTCCAATTATACATATATGTTTTTTTTGAAGAGTTGATTCATTATTTTTAGTTATACTAACTTTGTTTTTCCTAATATATTTTCTCTTTTTTGAAACTCTTTTCCAAACTAAATCTATTTCTTGTTGTGGAAAATTATTAATTAAAAATGAAATAAAGTTTTCAATTTGTAATACATAAATTGGATTTAAGTTTGAAAACTTTGACCTTACAATAAAAAATTTTAAAATATTTTCAATAATTTTCTTTTCCTCTTTAGATTTTAATGTTGACTCCATGTTTATATTAGAGCTCTAAAAAAGCTCTATTTTAATTACCTCTATTGCAACTAAAGTGATCTAAAATGCGTAGTAACTCTTATATCTGGATTTAATTTGTAAAATAAAACAATCAATGTACCATTGATATATCAAATTGATTAATATTTAAATTGTTATAACTTATGTTGTTAGTATTAAATATTGAATCATATTTCAACTAAATATGAAAATATAAATGCACTAAAATAATTGATTGCATAAACAAAATATATTTTTTCTGAATCAAATAAAATTGTAAGTCAAAAATTAAATATTATTAAACTAGGAATATACTTATTGTGCACATAGTTAAATAAATAAACTAAAAATAATAATTTCAATGTGCATAATTATAAATAAATAATTGAAAATTTAATTTAAACCTACATATAGGACAAGTATTATGGCTTTCCAGCCATTCAGCTATACATGTTTTACAAAATGTATGTTTACATTCTAAAATAATATTTTCTTCTGTTACTACCAAACATATTGGGCAGTCAATTCTGGTAAATAAACTAATATAAGTTAGGCAGATTTTATTTTGAACATTTTTACTTATTGAAATCCCCCTTGAAATATATATTTTAAAATCAATTAATCTATAAAACTTAATCAAATCACTTTCAGTTAGAATTTGACATTTTGAAATTGTAGGCCAATGTAATATATTTTTAAATATTTCTAAAAGAAAAGAGTCAAGTTTCTGGTAACCACTTATAAAAAAACCAAAATTCTTTCTATAACATTCTGGACCAGATTCCAATCTTGAATATATTAACATCATTTGGCCACGTGTTAAATTTTGATATTCCAATAGATTTTGCCAGATAAAATTTGTTTTATCATTCATCAATATCCATGTATTAAACTCAGTTGATAACTTTTTATTTTTCAATAATATATTTACATTAAGTTTATTATAATTTTTTAAAAGGTAGGGTTCAGGCACCTCTTGATAACAAATTAAAACATTCCAATCAATTTCATCTTGAAGCTGGTTAAGAACCATAGGAGTTAGGTTTTGGTTTTTAACCAAAAGAATAAAATCAAACTTGTTAAAATATTTTATAATAATTGTTGTAGGAACATTTTGAAATTTGATTAATTCATTAAAGTCTATCTTGTTTTCAAATGTTGTTATAAACCTTTCAGAAAAACATTCATTTTTATATAATTTTTTCCAATCTTGTTGAGACATTTGTAAAAGTCTCTGTTTAACAATGTTAAACTTTTCTTGTACTATGATTTGGAAACTTCCATCAGAAACCTCATTTTTCAAGGTATTATATAAATGATATATATCTGTTGGGTCATTCAAACTACTAACAAAATCAATAACACCTTTCTCTGTTTTTATTTCATTAACCATTTTCCAAATAATTTTTTTTCTATTAATAAGTGAATTAAATTCTACTCTTAAATTCCTTGCAAAATCTTTTAAATTATTTAATGTTAACCTTTCCATATCTAAATATAAGATGAACAAATAATATAAATACTTACTAGATTGTTTTAAATACTAAACAATAATAACCAACCAATGTTGATTACAAACTAATGCATTAACAAAAATATTAATCCTTTATATAGAGTGAGAAAAATAAAGAAACCTTTACTTTGGGCAAAGTATTATAAAAATACCACTTCTCTAAACCAATTATAATTATATTCATCAATACATCAATATATAAATTCTTAATAATTTGTCACTTTCAACCTATCCCTAATATGTAAACTTGACATAATATAATAGTGGCAGTTAATTTATTTAATTTAAATTTATTTATGTAGTATAAAGCCAAAGTATGTATACAATAGAAACAAGTATTATTCTGTTTTATTTTATCTTATATTATTTTAACAGGTTCAGTACCAGCCTGCTGTTATATCTGGGTTTAGAGTCTCCAGACACATGGGAGTAAATGTGAAGATTAATGTATTTACAAAAATTAGTATAATCTAGTAATTGTATAACTTTACCCTAGTGTTTATACTTATTTGAAATAAATTTTATATTTTTTGTGTTTTTTTCCCCCAATTTTAAATCCATCCAGCAGTTTATGTGTGATTGAACTTTAAACAAACACACATAAAGATGAGTCTGGTGTAGAGTATTCCATTTTATTTAAAAGATTATAAGTTATTTGAGTATTACCTGTTAATGTTTATTTATTTTCTGTTCTTTCATAATGCAATGGACCAATTTAAAATATTTTCCATTTATGATATCATGTATTTCCTGTTCAATCAATGGTATTTTCTTCTTAAATTTTTGCATTATTAGTTTTATCTATTCTTTACTACATTATAAAACTTGCTGTTCCAAATGGTAGGGAAGTGTAAATTCAGTAAAATATAGGGTAACTATTTACCATTAGTGTGACAAATAGACTCTATATGTTTTGTTCTAATTTTAAGTTATAGGAGATCTTCCCATCTAGCAGGCCTAAGCAGCAGTCTCCCTAGTGAACAGTGTTGTGAATTAAAATTTAAAATTAAGCTTAACAAGAAGCATTAATTAACTGGTCTAAAATATTTAGTGGGTGTAAGGTCTCAGGTATGGTATTAAAAACCTACAACCCAATCTTTGTTAAATTAAAAGGCACTTAGCCAAACACAAGGTGTTTTTTGTTTGTTTAATGGCCAGATTACTTTTTAATTAAAATCAACACCTTGTAACCAGTGTAGAGTCAGTGTTATATGTTCTATGTCCTGTTAAATAAATTATTTTCCTAATAGTATATTTATTAACCATTCATTTGTATCTGATTTATTCTTGTCTAATTTTTCTGTCTTTTGTCACACTATTGGTCATCCCTAAGAACTTTTTTAGTCATTTGCTAATCTCTGTGATGCAGTTTACTAAAATATAATTTCAATGAACAACTTAAAATAGGTTTAAAACAAAACAGTATAACACATATTAGTTACTTTCTTGTTAAAAGGAACATTCATTGTTATCAATTTTTTTTTCAATATATTTGTTTGCTACACAATCCATATCTTTCTGTTTTAAAATCTCCAAACACATTTAAATTACAAATTAAGGACTTAGATAACCTTGTTTTTGAAAAAATAAAAACTTATACTGAATTAGAAAATGAAACTAGTCTATTCTAAACTAACTTAACATAAAACAACTAAACTGGCTCTAGAAGCTATGTTAGTGTTTCAAAATTCTGTTTGATAACAGAAAAGATAAATCGGAAAAATGGCTATCAACTGGAATTTTGAAATGTTATAGTAAGTTTGGTTGGTAAAGTTAACTTGTAGTTTTGGAATTTTGAAATGTTATAGCAAGTTTGATTGGTAAAGTTAACTTGTAGTTTATACAGTTTATAACTGACTGATAAAAATACAGCCAGAATAGTATATTTTGCCCTATTCGACAGTCACTTGAGGAAAAAGTTGTGATTTTCTGGTCTCAACAACTATGGAGAAGATGACCTAGGTAAAAGGTATAGCCTACTTAATAGTTTCATTTAAATAGGCCTTTATATTTTTTTAATTGTTTGATACTGAACAATAATTATTTTTTATCCTTATTGTAGTTGCCAGCTGATAGGCTATGTTTCAATTTGTTATTATCAATTTATTGGATAGAAAAATAAAATATTAATATTCAAAAAGAAATCATCAATAATAATGAATGTTCTTTTTAACAAGAAAGTGCCCAATCTAGTTTTAAATCAAAAGTTACCTCATAAAAGCAGTCTTAATTAAATGAATGAATGAGATTTTCATGTTATATGGGTGTATATTAATAGACATCTGAAAGATATTCTTAATCAATATTTAATTAGATATCCATAGGACATAAATACACCTCTAAAATGATCTTTAGACAAATGTATACCTTTTTAGATGTTGATCAGACATATAATTTCAAATATTTTATAAATGTTTAGATTAATGTCTTATAAATATTTAAAGAACTCTACAGATATCTTTGGATATAAATAAACATAAATATTAAAATAAATAAAATAATAACATAAATAAAATAGATCCATCAGACATTCTGTGCTATCTGGGTTAGGAAGGCTTGTGCCATTTTATGTAAATTTGTATTTCCTGTTTATTCCCTCCTGAATTCCCACCAATATCCCACTATTACCCCATTGCATCTCATAACCATCATATTAACCACCCTGAGTTCTCCATCACTATTTCTCTCCAGCTACACAATTATATAGTAAAGAGAATTCAAACAGTTTATAAACAAAAATGTTGGTCCCCAATGTCATACATGACTAGATATCAACATAATTATCAAAGTTAATGTTAACTAAAACTTTTAATTTCTTCTTCTCAAATTTTTTTGCCATATTCAATATAAAATATTGGTAAATATTAATTTAATTCATATGAAATAAGTTGGAGGAATAAATCTTATATTGGTTTTTTTAACTATTCAGAAAACATGAACATTTACTTTATAGTCTCACAATGTATTGTAAAATTTACTGTCTTCCTCTGTTGAACTGATCTTTAACAACAAAGGGATATATTCTGTGCTAATTAAAATGTTTTCACACCTTTCAATTGAAAAATAGTTAGGACCTATAAAATCTAATACATGAAAGTCATTAACTAAATTTAGACACTCTAGTGAGGTTAATGCTAAATCTATTACCAATAAACCATTTTATTTTATAAATGTTAATTTACCACTAATATCAGAGGGTGTGTAGCCATTTAAAACTGTTAAGTTATAATTATCACAAAACTTTAGCACTTTCTTGCACCCCTGATGAGTTGCACCTTGGTTTTCAACGTCCTGTAGCTGTGGTGTTGTCACTGGACCCATACCAAGAAGGTGATATGTCTGACTATAATTATTTTACTCTCTTCACACCTTTAGTCATGGTGCATCAAAGTGTAAGTTTAGAATATAATCTTTCTAAAGGTATACAGATTATTTTATAACCAAAACCTTACAAAATGTGACTATTATAGTTGCACTACAAGTTGGAGGGTTAAGCTTTAATTTTCAAAAAGTCTAGCAGCTTATGTTAGAATTCTAAACTAGCTTTTGATTAAATCCATTTGCTTAAAATAACAAATGTAAACATTTATAACACAAGACCCAAATTTAACATGCATAGATACATTCAAAAATACCCATGAACTTTTAAAAAATTAATGTACAGTTGAATTTTTTTAGCTATAAGCAGTTGAGGTGAACCTATTTGGCTGTAGTGGATCATGTGTTTATTTACATCCGTTTCAATTGCGGATTACTCCTTTCCAATGCGCATGTGCAAACAAACTGTTCCATGGGAGCTGTGACAAGCGTTGGATGGATAGAACAGAACCGGTTTCGGTTAACTTCTCTTTGTTCTCCAAAGTCAACTCACTCACTAACTCTTTGTCTGATTCTACTTTACCACCACCACTACCCTCCTAGGCTTGGCTTCCTCCTCCTTGTTCTTAGCAGAGCCTTAGTTGGCAAGTCAAAACGGAGTAAACATAGGTAACTAATATTCTGAAATTAACAGCTAGACTGAAACCACCTATTAGGTCAGGCCAACTTCATCTCTGTGTTACAAGGAACCTAATTTCTCACATTCCTTTTTATTATTCAAAAAGCTTCATACAGTACCGGCCCTAATCACTACTTTATAAACAAGAGTGTTATTTACTTTATTCAGGCCTAAAGACCCAAACAATGTGAAGCAAAGGGCTTAGTTTCAGCACAAACTAAAAAATAAGTATCAATTGATTTGTAAATAATACTTAACTGGCATGGTATAACTTATATAATATTCGTTTCCATATTTTGAGATAAGCCTAGACTAGATTAGTTTACACCAATTAATCCATTAAAGTTCCAAGTTTAATTTGTAATCTATGTCTAGCTTTCAAATACATTACTGTAAAGTTTTTATTGAGACCTCACTAGATCCATAATTTTGAATTGTAATATAGCTGACTCAGAACATGGCGAGTTCAAAGTACAGTAGATTCTTTCAAACCAAGGCAGCAACTAAGGATAGTAAGTCAATATTAAAATTATTGAGATTTTAGAGGAGGGTTAAAATTATTGAGATTTTAGAGGAGGGAAGTTAGAAGGGTGCATAGATAGATATAGGTTAAAATAAGCAAAACAAGTAATAATGCTTTGGGCAACTCACCTACTTGTTCTGCCTAAGTACAATAACAATATATCATTGTATTATGCATAAAAAAGACTTTGTTATGTGTATCGGCATATTAACAAAAACACCATCTGTGGAGCCCTAGTTTTTAGTTGTGATGTGGGGGGAGGACTTGCACATTAGATATTGAGAGATATCCACAACAAATAAAACCAAACCAACAGATGAGCAAGAACCAGGAAGTAGACTAAATAAAAACAAAGCACATACTAATTGGTAAAAGTAACAACCTGTCCTGTGTGCTATATCACGCTATATTCAATTCATTGTAAACGTTGTAACAGATAAATCTCAAATCTGATATCACAGAACTACAGAATAGTTTACTTGCACATGTGCATTATGAGAAGAGTAATCTGCGATTGAAACGGATGTGTTTATTTGTGTCAAATTTTGAGGTTAAAAAATCAAAATAAACAAACTGGCATATATTCTTGGAATTGACAAGTTAAATATACTTTAAACTTACTCCAGCCTAATATGTTTTTATAAAAATACCTAGCAATTTAGATATAATTTACTGTTAGAGACATGATTTCTAATTCCAAATCAACTAATGAATAAGTTGTTACCATACTTAATTATTGTTTCAAATTATAGGTGATAATTACTTTGAAAACAGTTAATTATATAGTAAATTATATGAGTAGGCCCTAAATATTAAAATATTGAATCTTGTTGCATAAGTTAACTTGCATAAAATAACTGTTGAGATATACAGTAATGATGATTTATGTTTAGTTTTGAGATCTCTTATCATCTCATCTCAATAGACCCACATTTTGGGATCCAAGTTAGGGACCAGACTTAAATAATCTTAAGATGACGAGATAAATCTTTATAGACTAAGTTTTTGACCCATTTATACAGGGTGACACAAAGGAACCGGACGTTTTTAAAATAAGTAGTACACAGTAGTTAAAAGGAATAAACTGGTTTTAATACTGTACATAGTGAGGTAAACATTTGCCATTTGTTACAAAACCGTCATTTTTTGAAAATGACGTCATGCATACGGCGGCCAGGTACTTATCTACAAATGTTCATTCTGTTCTGAAAATCCGCTGAAACTCGGGTCAGGAAGTTCAATGCCATTGATATCTTCTGTGATTGCAAACTTCAAATCCTCTAGAGTGCGTGGTTTATGAGCATGAACACGCTCCTTAAGAAACCCCCTAAGGATATAATCACATATAATCACTAGTGGACAAGCCAGATAATTTTGGTGGCCACGGCATGTCACCAAAGCGAGAAATCACCTTGTTAGGAAACATTTATTCAATACTACTCTCCCTCTGGCGATGTTTTTGGGTGTTCTCGTAGTTCTAACAAGGCCTGGTGGTTTCTTTCTTGTTATATTCCCAGTAGTTCGAAACCCTGAAACCCATCCTAATGGCGAATTTCGGCTTGGAACCGTTTTATGGCGTTCAATATTAAAATGCCGACTGAATTCCCGCTGGATTTGACAACGGATTCGCCATTTCGGATCAAAGTATCGTATGCAAAAACGCGATGGTCTAGGGTCCACTGAGCCATTTCAACAAAAATGCCAAGCCTCCCTGAAGGTAATGACATAACTTCAATCTTCCTACCACGTGCAACAACAATGGAACAGCTGTTTAAAAAACGTCCGGTTCCTTTGTGTCACCCTGTATTATAATTAACATCTAATTGTATTGCTGATAATTCATTAATGCAATTACTAATGAGATAAGTTGCCCTCATACAGTTGTACAAACAGGATAATATAACATTATATAATAGGCCAAGGAAACAAGATTCAAGTTTGGTTTATAAAATGTAGTAGTTTAAATACGGATTTTTCTAACTAAATAATTTCATTTTATTTTAAATGGGCATTCTTTTATAAGTAATACAACACGGCCCCTAAATGCTTAATTATTGATTGCCAACATGCCAGTTTGTTTGTTTTGATTTTTTAACCTCAAAATTTGACACAAATAAACACATGATCCACTAAATAGGTTCACCTCAACTGCTTATAGTTAAAAAAAATCTGACTGTACATTCCCCATATACTTAAAATATTTGTCATGATAAGACAATTTGCACAAAATCATCCAGTTTAAAATATCTTAGGTGTATTTGTTTGTTATTCTTTCAATCTATTACCTTATTAAAATCAGATGTAATAATTAATTGCTATATAGTATTCTGTTATACCTATTTCAGCTTAACTTGAACAATCAATATTTTTATCCTATTTCAGCTTAACTTGACCAATCAATATTTTTATTAATATTTATGAAGTCAAACAGGATAAAGGGTTTAGTTTGTAATTCCATAGACAAACTTAATATAAGATTGTTTACCTACTATTTCAGTGGTTATTTATATAACATCAGTGCCCAAATAATGTAGGCCTATGCCTATCTCTATAATAGTAAAAAATAGTTTACAACCATCTCAATTTTATTTTATAACATTGATAAGAGTTAAACTTACTCAGACACCTAGATCTGTCACACATCTATCAAAATCAAACTATGGAGTCATGGTCAAGTCAATTAAGACAGTTGTTCTGGAATTGGCTGAATGACGTCAACATTCCTATTCTCAATTGTCACAATGAGAATAGGAATGTTGACATGGGTGAGTGTGGGGGTAGTTGGTTCCTCAGTCTTTAATCAGTAGCAGAAGCGTTTGGTTGTCTCCTAGGTAAACCTCAACACACACATAGGCTAGAGACTTAGTCAAAGTATAGTTAGCTAGCTTCACTTGTTAAAAATTATTACAAGTCCTTTTAAAAGACTTAGACAAATTTTCAGTCTCTATGTCAGCAAAACTTAGCCAAAAGTGACTATAGCTAGGTTCAAACTTAGAAAATTTTCAGTCTTCAATACATTCACATATGTTAGAAACTTAGTCATATTCAAGTGACTATAGCTAGGTTCAAACTTAGAAAATTTTCAGTCTTCAACACACTCACATATGTTAGAAACTTAGTCATATTTAAATGACTATAGTTAGGTTCAAACTTAGAATATATTCCAATAGTCATCTTTGTTACAATTAGAAATGTTCTAAGTTTTTAAAGGACTTATAATAATTTTGAATGAGGAAATTCACCTATGTTTAAAGAAGGAACTTGTGAAATTTGTTCATATTATCAGTTGCTTGTATTTGGCTAAGTTTTGCTGACATAGACTGAAAATGTTGTAAGTTTTTAAAAGGACTTGTAATAATTTTAAATAAAGGAAACTAACAATATTCCTAAGTTGATTGTAAAAACATGTTAAAATCTATGCTGTATATCCTACTAATCTGGTACATATATCCAATTGTTGCTGCTATAGTAACTATTAAAAAATATTCTAAGTCTAGAAAAGGACTTGTTACAATTTAATAGAATGATCCTAAAATCATTTCAAAGTTTAAAGTAAGAATTTGTTTAGATCTATAAGAGGATCAATTACTTGAATAAGACTAACAGCATATATTTTAAGAATAAGACTAACAGCATACATTTTAACAAGTTTTACAATCCTCTTAGGAATATTGCTAGTTTCCTTTATTTAAAATTATTACACATCCTTTTAAAAACTTAGAATATAGCCAAACAGTCTCTATGTCAGTAATACTTAGCCATATTCAAGCAACTAATAATCCAAACAAATTTTATAAGTATTATTTTGTTTTTTCCTAAAGAAATTCATCACAGATATTCAACACTGGTCTTGAAACTGTACATATATACTCTTGACGAAATAAACCCCTATAAAAACAACTTGGAACCTTCTACCCCTACTCCACCCAGGACTTGTACTGGACCAAGTGATGAGGTAATTTCCAGAGCTTTGTTATTATAAATACATCTTGTTACTGCAGGTTACTTTTAACAATTATAAATGTAAAACTAATTTTTACTTTCCAAAATTTCCATCTAAAATCAAACCATGTTACATAATATTAATCCCTTGAAATGGAAATAATTATCTAGGGGTATTTGTACAACATTATGCAACCACAAATTAACATTTATTTGAACAAGGTTACAAACTAGCATAATTGGACTAAGAGAAAGAGTTTTTAGGGGAATTTTGGCATTTCTCTACAGATGATTTTGGAGAGTTTTAAAAATAAATAATTTAGTATATCAAAGTGTTTTTGTATTGTTATTAGTTATAAATAAAATGCACATAAATGGAAGTTTAAAACTCCCTATGTTATTTTAATTAAAAATAAGTCAAACTGAAATTAATGTAGTCTATAGTTCTTGTATTAGAATAATATAAAATAAATGTTTTTTCATATATGATTGTTTTATTGAAAATATCCTTAAACTTGATAATGGTAACTACTCAATGATTTATAATAATTGACAAGAAGAAGAATAATTTTGTAAGGAGATTAAACCCTTAAACTTGTCATTTACTAGTAAAAATAGGATAGATTGACAAGAGATTAGTAATCTTATTTATATTAGTTCATTTCAATAGATTCCCATAGATTAACACTGAAGCTAAAATAATTTGGCACCTCCTCTATTTTATTTGATTGACATTAGCTATATGGGCTATTAATTAATAGCTATGTCTAAGAAATGTGTCAGTCTTAATATAGCTCCACTAGAAAAACATGCCATGCTGTAAGATTCATGACATCATAATAGTGGATAGATTAATTAATAAGTTTGTTGCCCTATCCCATATTTTTTAAGTAAATAAGTTGGTTGTTTGTCAGATTTTAATCTTAAGAGTTAGGTACAACTATCCACCACTGTAATGTAGTGTTTTGTTGCCTACACTGCAGTGTGATTTGTTTTTTATTTGAGCCTTAGCCTTAATCACCATCAATAATAAAAGATCATGCCACTCAACTTTTACTCATATTTATATTAAAATCTATACAAAGTACCATCTTTATTTTTATTGATATACTACAGTAGGACTAATTTTGGGACAGTTTCTCTCATTGATGTATTTAATAGAATAATCTTATTATGATTCTAAGTAGTATAACAAGTATCTATCAGATCCACCAAGACTTGCTCAGACACCCAGATGTGGTGCCAAACTATTGGATGAATTAATTATAGAAATGGTCCTAAAGAGTTGGTGTCAAATAAGGCATTGTGCCAAATATTCTAGGTAGGAGGAGGGGAAGGAGGGGGAGAAAAGGAGAAGTAGGAGAAGAAATATGACAAGGGGGAGAAGGGAGAAGAGGGGATAAGAGGGGGGGAGTCTCATTGGTCATGTATTTCTAAAATGTTAACCCTGTGTGTGTGGGTATGTCTGAATTGGCAAAATAGGAGGAGCTGTTCCTTCAGTCTCTCATCGGCAGCACAAGTGTTTAGTCATCTCCTGGGTAAGTTCTCAACACACACATAGGCTAGAGACTTAGTCAAAGTATAGCTAGTTAAGTTTCCTCGTTCAAAATTATAACAAGTCTTTTAATAAACTTAGAAAATTTTCATTCTAAATGTCAGTGAAAATAAACTTAGAACATTTTAAGTCTAAATATCAGTGAAACTTAGCCAAATACAAGCAACTGATAATCTGAACAAATTTCATAAGTTTTTTTCTTTAGACTTAGGGGAGTTCCCTTGTTTAAAATTATAACAAGTCCTTTAATAAACTTAGAAAATTTTCATTCTAAATGTCAGTGAAACTTAGCCAAATACAAGCAACTGATAATCTGAACAAATTTTATAAGTTTTTTTCTTTAGACTTAGTACAAGCAACTGATAATCTGAACAAATTTCACAAGTTTTTTTCTTTAGTCTTTGGTGAGTTTACTCATTCAAAATTATAACAAGTCCTTTAAGTTTTTTTCTTTAGTCTTTGGTGAGTTTACTCATTCAAAATTATAACAAGTCCTTTAATAAACTTAGAAATGTTTCAGTTTAAATGTCAGTGAAACTTAGTCAAATACAAACAACTGATAATCTGAACAAATTTCACAAGTTTTTTTCTTTAGACTTAGGTGAGTTTACTCGTTCAAAATTATAACAAATCCTTTAATAAACTTAGAAAATTTTCAGTTTAAATGTCAGTGAAACTTAGCCAAATACAAGTAACTGATAATCTGAACAAATTTCACAAGTTTTTTTTTAGACTTAGGTGAGTTCCCTTGTTTAAAATTATAACAGGTCCTTTAATAAACTTAGAAAATTTTCATTCTAAATGTCAGTGAAACTTAGCCAATCTAAATGTCAGTGAAACTTAGCCAAATACAAGCAAATAACAAGTCCTTTAATAAACTTAGAAAATTTTCATTCTAAATGTCAGTGAAACTTAGCCAAATACAAGCAACTGATAATCTGAACAAATTTTATAAGTTTTTTTCTTTAGACTTAGTACAAGCAACTGATAATCTGAACAAATTTTATAAGTTTTTTTCTTTAGTCTTTGGTGAGTTTACTCATTCAAAATTATAACAAGTCCTTTAATAAACTTAGAAATGTTTCAGTTTAAATGTCAGTGAAACTTAGCCAAATACAAGCAACTGATAATCTGAACAAATTTCACAAGTTTTTTTCTTTAGACTTAGGTGAGTTTACTCGTTCAAAATTATAACAAATCCTTTAATAAACTTAGAAAATTTTCAGTTTAAATGTCAGTGAAACTTAGCCAAATACAAGTAACTGATAATCTGAACAAATTTCACAAGTTTTTTTTCTTTAGACTTAGGTGAGTTCCCTTGTTTAAAATTATAACAAGTCCTTTAATAAACTTAGAAAATTTTCATTCTAAATGTCAGTGAAACTTAGCCAATCTAAATGTCAGTGAAACTTAGCCAAATACAAGCAACTGATAATCTGAAGAAATTTCACAAGTTGTTTTCTTTAGACTTAGGTGAGTTCCCTTGTTTAAAATTATAACATCCTTTAATAAACTTAGAAAATTTTCATTCTAAATGTCAGTGAAACTTAGCCAAATACAAACAACTGATAATCTGAACAAATTTTATAAGTTTTTTTCTTTAGTCTTTGGTGAGTTTACTCATTCAAAATTATAACAAGTACTTTAATAAACTTAGAAAATTTTCAGTTTAAATGTCAGTGAAACTTAGCCAAATACAAGCAACTGATAATCTAAACAAATTTCACAAGTTTTTTTCTTTAGACTTAGGTGAGTTCCCTTGTTTAAAATTATAACAAGTCCTTTAATAAACTTAGAAAATTTTCATTCTAAATGTCAGTGAAACTTAGCCAAATACAAGCAACTGATTATCTGAATAAATTTTATAAGTTTTTTTCTTTAGACTTAGGTGAGTTTACTCGTTCAAAATTATAACAAGTCTTTTAATAAACTTAGAAAATTTTCAGTTTAAATGTCAGTGAAACTTAGCCAAATACAAGCAACTGATAATCTGAACAAATTTTACAAGTTTTTTTCTTTAGACTTAGGTGAGTTCCCTTATTTAAAATTATTACAAACCTTAAACAGTTTTAAACATTCCCCATGTCAGCAATACTTATTTACATTCAATATGATTATACTCTAAACAAATCTGGACCTCAGTGATCTGCCAGTTTACTTTATACCAATCCAAACAACTTTTAATTTGAAAATACAATTTTGTTAATTTTAAAATGTAAATATACTATGCCTATTTACACAATTAGTAAAAGGTGATTAACAAATATT